CACTCATGACCTCCTGAGGCACTGTATAATTTGTTCTCAAAAAGATTTACCTTTTATTTTCTGTTTCCGTGCAAGAGATCTTGTGATTTGTTCATATATGTTTCCCAGGCAACGGGAACTGCGGGCAGCACAAATAGACCTTTGAAAACATGTGTTGAATGAGTGAATGGATAAATTGTTAGATAAGCTCAACATCCAAACTAATGTGGGCCCAGCTGTTTTTGAGACTTGGCAGGCCGAGAATGAACCAAGAGCGTCCTTGGTCAGAGTTCCAGGGGGGATTTCAGGCACTTCTCCTGCATTACCTCTTTTGAGATAACACTTGCAAGGGTGTCATTAGTCACAAGCTGTGGCAAAAGTTGAGCAGTCAAGAACTGGGCCTGATTTTTGCCAGACATTAATGGGCTCTACCTTCTGCTTTCAACCACCCCGTGTGAGCTTTATGCCTGTGAGGGGTGAGCGGTACAAGCCTAGAGTCCTCTTTCCCCCAAAGCTTGTTCTCCAAGCCCTGGATGGCTCCAGAGTTATTCTTCTGTAAGGCTCTTTGACTCTTTGATGTTTCACTGTTTCAGGGACTGCAAGCCCTGGAGTAATTTGTGTACAGATCTCAGTACATCTTCATAGCAATCGCTGTTCTCCAACAGCACCACTACTGCGAAATCAATTCCTTCAGAAGGCTGGGATTGTGTGCTTCTGTCAAAGGAAGGAGACAGAGGATCCTGGCTGCTACCCACTTCACAGAGGCGCATGTGAACCCAGGAAGAATTCGTATCTGCCTCTCCCCACGGCTATGGTCTGCTCTGCCCCTGTCTGCTGAGGCCAAGGCTATGGCACTGTCCCAAGGAGGACACCCCTCAGCCTGTCTTTTTGATACCCACTGCTCGCTGCCTGTGTCTTACCCCAGCCACTCTACTCTGCTCAGGATAAGAGTTCTCCCAGCCCTTGTACCTTCTGGATTGAACCTGTGATCAGCGAAACATGTCGCAGGCCCAGAAAGTTTGCCGTTTGGTTCATCCACTGTGTGATATAGCCAGGACCTACAATTTGAGGATCGACGCAGTTGTCAGGGTGCCCAAGTGGCTGAGCAGTGTGCTGTGATGGGAAAGACATACATGTCTGGGAGAGAAATACTCATTCCACACATAGCAACCCCTCAAGAAGACCCGGTGATTGGGGTCGCAACAAATCAACGTGAAGGGACGACCACATCTAATCCCCTGCCTAATGGCTTATTAATTTTATTTTCCCATGCCTCCTCACCCCACCCCACCCCAGGATGTTCTTTCTTACTTTCACCCCGGGTTGTGGTAGACTTTGAAGGCTTCCCAAGGCTGGGTGGAGGCCCAGGAGTCCTGGTGATGCAGTCTGCTGTCTTAGTAAAACAGTGCAGGCTTTAGACCTGGCTGGCCCTGAATTTATGTCCAAGCCTGTCAGCGACCAACCAGGGGACCCTAGCAACCTGCTTGTGATATCTGACCCTCAGTTTCGCCTCTGTTAAGTTGGCCTGTGGGCGGCTGCAAAAGTTCGAGACGGTGCACCAAAGCAGCCATCAGAGCGTCTGGCACAATTTAGGCTGCAGGAACCGGCAGCTGCTAGTCTTGCTATGCACTGGGGACTTCTGGCATCTCTGTACCTGAGCTTCCAAAGAACTGGAGGGTTCTAGGACCCAGAAACTCAATTCGCTTAGAGGCCTGCTGGCAACTAAAGCTGCAGCTTTTCAACTCACTTTGTGGAAACTCTGCTGGGTGGTGGGGGCAGCTTAGGTTGCTGATTGACACAGCAAGAGGCTCCCAGCCTGGTTCCCATCTGGATACTGCACAAAGCTCAATAAGAATGTGAGAATTTATGGAAAGAAATAGTGAATATTCTCTTTTTCCTCCCCCTTCCAGAAGCACCCTTTCCTGTCTGTCCCTGGGCCCTGCCATCCATTTCACAGCCACTGGAAATCCAGCCCTTGTTTAGTGTTGAGCTCATCAATGAAGATCAACTGTTTGTTGTGCCAATGCAGTTTGTGGGGGTGGGGAGGGGTGGGAGACACACTAAACCTCCAGGCCAAGGGGTGGAGGGGGAAAGAGCCTGGGCCAGTGACTGCTTCCTGGCAGGGTTAGGCCAGGTCACCCAATCCTTTGTGCCTCCCCATGGAGCCTCCTGCCTGAGGCCCTCAGGAGTCCAGCAGTCCTTTTACAGTGCAGCCTGTGGTATGCTCCCACCCTTTCCCCCTCTATCCTGGTTCTCTGGCTGAATTAAGCTTCTTGACCCACATTTGCAATTAACCCTTTTAGACATGTGGGTGATTTGCCCCACCAGAGCCAAAGAAAACATGGATTCAGGCAGGATCTAGAAGGACATTGTTTCTTCCCCTGAGCTAGCTGGTGCTTCCTATAAAATGGGGAGGGGTAATTTTACTGACCTGGCAGAGATAATATGTGGTACAGAGGAGATGCTCAGTACACCTTTGCTCTGAAGGCTCTCCACTTGCTAATTGACTGACCTGGCTGGCTGACTTTTGTTTTTCATTTTTATTTATTGATGTGAGAGAGAGGGAGAGACAGAGAGAGAAACATCGATTATATGTTTTGCTTATTCATGCATCATTTATGTTGTTCTGCTCGTTTATGGTTGTTTCTTGTATGTGCCCTGACCAGGGATGAAACTTGCAACCTTGGAAGATGCTCTAACCAACTGAGTTACCTGGCCGGGGCCCATCTGACTTCTATGAGCCTCTTTCTATAAAAGGGGGACATTTTGAAGTCAGTTTTGTCCCCGAGAAAATTTGAGGCTGCATTTGAGGTTACTGAGGCCTGTTCCACTGACTTCACCAGCTTCCTTTGAAGACAGAGACCTTGTGAGTGCATTGGCAGGCAGAGAGGGACGGTGGCAGTGTGGCCTCCAGGGAGGCGCTCTGGCTTTACAGGGAATGGACTTGGGGTCTTGTCTGAGATAGGTCACTTGCCACCCTTGTGGCTCTAGACAGGGAAGTCACTTACTAATCTGAACCTCAGATTCACACCTGTCCACATCTGGAGGTGGTCTTGACAAATATGGCCCCTCCAAGGCCAGACCCCTGCCCTTTGATTTTTTGCAGCCCAGTTTCTGTCACTGCCTGAGTCATAGAAGGCTTTCTCTATTTTCTTGTTTGTTGAATGAATTTGAAGCTGCTGGGGGGTCCTAGTGCCTACTTTCATTTGAGGCCTCCTTTGCCTTCAGGCTTATGTCTATGGGCCCCTGAGCCTTCGTTCAGAAAGTCATTTGCTAGCCAACTCTGCTCATAGCTGGAAGCAGAGTAGAACTGACTGGAGGCAAAGCCATGAGAAGGTACCCCAGCTCCTCTTTGGTGTGTGGTAACTGCTGCCTCTGAGCCCCACAAAGCTAGGTGAGGCACCCTTCCGTGGTGTTCCCTATTAGTGGAATTAGTTCATAAAGTGCTGAGTCCTGGGGCTAAAGGAGGTCACTTTGGGGCTGGCCAGAGCTCCTTAGGTGTGCTCTTTGCCTGTAGCTGATAAAGATGTGAGGGATGACTCCCACATCTCCACATTTGCTGCAAGGTGATGTAGAGGCTTCCGAAGACCCTGGTGATAGGATGGATGGGAAGGGCATTGAATCCCGTGGTACAATGAGGTGAGTATGAAAGCTGGAGGATGGTAGAAAGCTGGTACCACATGACCTAGTATATACCATGGACCACCACCATGCCAGAGAGCCCTCTGGATTTACCAAACTGGCTGAAGGAGACGGTCGGAGTGCTAATTCTGCCCAAAGCCCTGGATACATAGACACTACACTTTTAAAACAATTTGTCCACCCTAACAAACAGTAGTTCCTGAGATAAATGCCAGGTTACCTTTCAGACAAGGCCCAGGTCTAATCTTCTCTCTGCCTCCTTCGAATCTGTGCTTTTCTGGAGACATTTTTTCTTATTCCAGAATTATCATTGTTATTAATCCTTTGTGTTCTCATTATAACTAGCCAACCTCCTATACTTCGATATTCTAAACACTGTTCACCTCTTTCCACCTCATTTATTTTTCTCCACTTTCCCTTGACATAACCTTAATAGTTCAGTGAATATTATGTTTTCTCTAAGGTCCATGCTGCTTTTAGTTCTTCCATATTTACTCTTTTTCCCAACTCCAATAGTATTTTCAGACATCAGGTTGTCATATCACCAAGAATTTTCTGATAGTCACATCTCTTTAATTTCTGTAGTCCTTCATAAGGTCCTTTTTACTGCAACCACCCCTCTTTCCTCTGCCCTCCTGTCAACCTAATTTAAGTATATTTACTATTTTCACTGCACCCTATGATGCTCCCTTCCCTTTGCCAATTCTATCTCCTCCAAGCTGGGTTAGATATCCAAAAAGTACCCAATGCACAATATTTTCACAGTATGCTCTGATGCCCCTTTCAAATTCCCCCAATCTAACTATTGGATTTTCATAGCTCCCTATGATGTCCTATTTCCTGTCCCAACCCAAGACAGGTCACATTTGCTTTTCTACATTTTCAATTCATCCCAAGCTCATCCCTATTACAACACTTACCACACTGCCAGTTTACATATTTGTCTCTCCCACATAATCTATAACATTCTTTAGAACTGAAGGCTGTGTACTAAGGAGTATTTTCAGAATGTATACTGATGATTCACTCATAACTGGTGGTCAGTAAATGAGCAAGGTGTCCTCATCATTAGGCTTTTATTTTTCCCCCTATATTCTCCAATAACTAAGCAAAATCACGGTAGTTTTAAGTCTTCTTTACACAACAGCAGACACAAAGGTTTTCAGAAAGGTCAGACATAAATGAATCCCCCCATCCTTCTTTCACATTTTACTGGTTATTTCAAAGTTTCAAAGAACAGCCTATTCAATGATATAAAATAGGTACCAGATTACGGAATGTGATGGAAATACTTCATTGTATAACATTAGCAAAACTGTTATATTAAATCTCAATGACAAAACAGGAAAAATATCTTTTCTTCAATCATATTTTAAACATATTGTGACCTTAATCAACATTGTATTAAAATGAATAAAATTTTACAATATCCAAAGCAAACGCTCTTTTTCACACTTCAAATTATTAGCACTGATCACAAATACCAAACACAGTGCACCCTCTTCCCCCATAATAGTCAACTGAGAACCCAGGTGATATGCTCCTTGGGGTACCTGTGAAGCTATTTACAACCCCCCTCACCACCACCCAAGGGCCAAAGGTCTGTGCCAGATTTCCCTAAGGGGCGGAGTAACCTGCAGCACCTGAGTTGAGGATAGCCTCAACTTCTGCATCATCATCCGAATCCCAATCGTAATTACATGGCCAGTCCTTGGAGCATCGGTTACGCACCCTTGCCACAAAATGCATTACTTTCAGCTTGCTTGACTCCACGTGTGCTCGAGGTCCCCAGAAGAACTCGTACTCTACGGGACTGCTACGGGGCACCGGCTTGTAAATCAGGTACCCTCTGCGCACAAACTCTTCTGTGACGACCTTCTTTGGATCGCCAAAGATGCTGTGCTGCCGGCCAGGCTGCATCCCCAACTTCCCCAGCACTTTCCAGACCAGAGCCTCCTTGGCGCTGTTGCCCATGATGAAGATGAGGGCTAATATGGACATCAGGAGACTTTTCTTGGTGCCTTGAAAATTGCTCCGGGCTACCGAGGGCTTTTGCGCTTGAGCAGTACTGGAGGCTTCCTGAGGGGTGGTGGAGGCCTCCTCTGGAGTGCTTGGGTCTTCCTCCGGGCCGCTAAGGTCGTCCTGGGGGGTGCTGGGGACCACAGAAGCGGCCATCGGGGTTTCTGAGGCTTCTGAGGCCTGTATCTTACGATTGTTGCGGTTCTCTTCTGCGGCCCTTGCGTTACGGCGGCGCCTACTCTTTCGTCCCCGTGGCATGTCTCTTGCTAGGGGCGCTGAGCCTACAGCAGTCCTAGGGAAGGATGCCTATAACCTCTACAGAAAGCAACTACCTCTACCTTAAGAAGGGGCTACCGCTGAAGCCACCAACGTCAATAGTCTTTGTAGCAAGAAGCCAGACGTTCTCAGCTACAGCGCTCACTCCCACGCAAGCCGACTTGCGTGAACAACCGCCACCTGCACTCGCCCCAGCAGCTAGCGCGCGAGAATGCTCCGCAGACTTGGCTCCGCCTCTCCTGCCACGCACTCCCCTAACTCTCAAAAGGAAGTGGGTGGTTCCTCCACCCGATTTCCGCTGTCAGATAGGAAAGGGGGCTGGACCCTGCAGGGGTGGGACTAGAGTCCAAATGTCGGCTAGGGATGGGCAAGGTCAGGGGTATGCAGAGGAAAATGAACAGGGATCTTGTATTTTTCAGTCTAGTACAAGATTGGCTCTCGGGTCTTGGGAAGGAATGTGTCTTTTTCTCCATTCCCACGGAAAGCAGGCTGGGTGTGTTTGTGTGGTGGTGGTGGTGGTGGTGGTGGTGGTGGTGGTGGTGGTGGTGTGTGTGTGTGTGGGGGGGGGGGGGGGGGGTGTATTCTTGGAAAGAATCAGCCATTCCCAGCTCTTCTTTCCTGTCTTGGTTTACACAGCGCATTCATTCACTCGCCCTGTTTCAGAAGGAATTCATATGTATACTAATTAATTCGTGGGTCCATCCGAGACTCAGATAACATGGCATGAGAGGACGTAGAACTGCAAAAGCAAACAGTGTGCAAGAGGCACAAAGCCTTTCAAATGTTATATATTGACGGGATTATTAAGCAGAGCACCGACTAGATTGGATTTTCGTTTGTACAGCCTTACATAAGAGACGAATATGGTCTGGAAGGTCACTTAGGAAGCAATTAAAATAAGAAGCAAGAGGGAATGAAAATGAGACTTAAGGTGGTTGCCATGGGGATGGAGAGGCAGAAAGGCATTTTAAGGGTGATGATCGACAAGCTTTAGAGTTCCAGTGAGGTGGGAATGGGGAGAGGGTGGAGGAGTGTAGGGTAGCTCTGAGGTTTCTGAGCTCTAGTCTACCTGAATACCTGATTCATTTTGCTTCTATCTTTCATTCGCTAATCTGAATGTAATTCGGAGCATATTCAGAACTTTATCCACTCCTTTGTTCACTATTTCCTCTGTCCAAATTGCCTTTCTTCTTTTCTCCAAGTGTCTAAATTCCATCTGCCTGCTCACAGGCCTTTCTGTCCCTGAAGCTTTTCTTGGTCTGTCTCAAAGGGCAATAAGTCAATATTTGCCCCCTCTGAGAAAGGAGTATTTAGGGCAAACACTGAGTATCTTTCTTTTAAGAAAATTATTGAATTAATTTTGGTGATGTTGGTTAATAAAATTATATAGGTTTCAGGTGTACAATTCTATAATACTACATCATCTGTAAATTGCATTGTGTGTTCACCACCCAAAGTCAAGTTTCCTTTTGTCACCATTTATCCCCCCTTTACCCACTTCTACCTTCCCCTCTGGTAATCACCATACTGTTGTCTGTGTCCATGAGTTTCCTTCCTTCCTTCCTTCCTTCCTTTCTTTCTTTCTTTCTTTCTTTCTTTCTTTCTTTCTTTCTTTCTTTCTTTCTTTCTTTCTTTCTTTCTTTCTTTTTCTTAATCCATTTACCTTTTTCACCCAGTTCCAAACTCCCCTCCCCTCTGACAGCTGTCAGTCTGTTTTCTGTATCTATCATTCTGTTGCTATTTTATTTACTTGTTTGTGAGTCTCCCTTTTCTCATCTTTAAAGTGGGGTTGTTTAAAGTACTGGCCTCATAGGATTGTGAGAATTATATAAGATAATAAGTGAAAAGTGCTTATCACACAGAAAGCACAGCCTTTGCCACTCGAGGTGTTTCAGCAATGTGTGAGAGTGACGTTTAATAAGGAATGGAGGAATACATGACGGAAAAATTTTTGCACAGGTTTTTGCCTGAACTTATAAAAAGCAAGTGAATACTTTTTACCAGTTTGTCTGGAAAAGAGTAAATGCTTGCTTGTGAGGACCTCAGACTAAATGTACTGAGGGAAGGAGTCCTGTCTAGCCCCTTGAGGTCTCCCAACCCTTGGCAGAATTTGTGGAATAAGTTCTATGTTTGGTGAACAAGTTCTGGGGTGGAGCACTGTGACCTGTTCAGAAAGCAGAATTGCCAGCTGCATTGCACCCAATAAGGCCAAGTCCTCTGTACATGTGTACAAGGAGGCTGCCTGGTATAGAGAGATGAGCACTTATCTCAGGCCTGGAAACATGAGTTTTGGCCCAGCCTGTGTCACTTACAAGCTCCTTGACCTTGATGATTTTTCTAGCATCTGTGTCCTGTGATTTGTCTTCTGAAAAAAAAAAAGAAAAGACTAATCACTCCCGTCTAGTCTGCCAGGCTTGTCATGAGGCTCTCTGGGAATTCAACAGTACATACCAATGACCCTGGGTTAGAGCAGGTTCATTTGAGTTCAGCTGTTTTGTTGTTGTTGTTGTTTGTTGTTTTATTTTTGCTGTTTGTGAATCCGTGTGCCTAGAGGACTGCAAAATTACCTATATTCTTTCAAATAGCTTCTCCATTCTGATGAGATTTTATAGGAATGCAATGCAGCAAACAAAATTTCTTCCCAACAGTCACTTTCTAACTGAAGTGTTCTTTATATCCAGAGCCTACCAAAGCCTCCTGTTGGGGAAGCCTAGCCATAATCCAGTCTGGGGGCAGTGCATGCTCTTTGCTGCATTGCCTTCTGCCCACCAACCAGGTGACTGAGGATGATGTGCCATTTCTGTGTCCATACACATTATATCGGATTTTTGAGTGAATTTATTTTTATATTAATGTTTTAAATTAATTTATTTTCCCATTACAGATGACATACAATATTATATTAGCTTCAGGTATACAACATAGTGATTAGACATTTATATACTTTATGAAGTGTTCACCTGAGAAGTCTGAAACCATACATAGTTATTACAATAGTATTGACCTTATTTCCTATGCTGTACTGTACAGCCCTGTGACTATCTTTATAACTGGCAATGTGTACTTCTTAATCCTTTTCACCTTTTTCACCTGATGTTTAACCATGTTGGTAAATGTAGCTGTAGCTCATTTAAATTTTGTTATGATTTCTTTTAGTATTTGCAATTTACTTTTCTCCTGGTCATCTGGACTTTTGCTCTTTCCATTTTTACAGAACAAACAATGCTCCTATTAGTATTTTCTACCTGTCCTATAAGAACATGTGCATGGATATCTATAATCACCATCTATAAGTAAATTACTGGGTATATCTTTATAGATATGTTTTGTTTTATTCATAAAAATTATATCATTCTATACACAATTTCTACTTTGTTCTTTTTCCTAATTAGCAATAAAACTTCATCAACCTGTACCTTTAATGTTTTCTTTATAAAGGCCGAATGGCATTCTTTGCAGTGGTTTTATGATAATCTCTTCAGGCATCCATCTTTTGGCTGGGTACAGTATATGTCCAAATAATTTCCTCCTCTACAAACAATGCTGCAATAAAAGTTCAATCATTAATTTACATGGATTTTTAAAAATGAGCAATATATTCAACTGAGTATGAGAGCCAAATTTATGTTTAGGATTAATAATTTAAAATTATTCATTTTTCAGTTGAAATCAAGGTAATTTTTCCTGAATCTTAAATAGGAAGCAAAAGCTTGCCTGATGAAATAATTTTATGATATATAAGATTGGTTGAATATTATCTCAAAGCCACTAAATGGGACATTACTGAATGGTTTTCAACAAGGGACTGGCCTGATTAGTAGTTTGACTGCAGTCGTTTGATTGTGGGGGAATGGGAGAGTGTGGGGTAGGAGATTTGTTTAGAGGCTGTTGCCCTCATCTAGGCTAATGAGAGTGGTGACCTGAGATAGAGTGATGGGAGAAAAAAACAGGAAAAGAGAATGGATATCAGAGCTGATTAGAAGAGACAATCAACAAACCTTTGGGATTGCTACATTTGGGCAGTGAGGGGAAGAAATAAATTAAGTGGGCCTCTCAGGGTTCTGGTTTCAGCAAGTGATAAGATTACGAATGCAGGAAGAGATGCAGGTTGGCTGCCTTGCTCTTCTCTTGGGTGCCTCTGGAGGGGCCCTTTGGTTCACTCTCTGCAGAATCATTGGATTTGAAATGCCTGCAGAAGCCTTGCTAAGATCAGTCTCTCTCAACACACTGGCCACAGATTAAACAAGGGTACAGCCAGCCCTCAGAATTGTGGGAAGGCTGGATATTGTCCATGGAATTTGTGTCTTGGAAGAGATTGAAAGGTAATCCCATACTGAGCTTCCCACAGACTCTTCTTATAATCATAAGTCCCCTCAAAACCCCAAAGTGAGCCAATTAGCCAACTCTAAATTATCACAGGAGTGATGGTGCTTCCCAAAATTCACCCCAAGGTTCTCTGGGGTCTTCACGGTGCTGACTCACCTCAAGTGACATCAGGGATAATATGAACAAAAGGTGCCAAATACTATACCCATGAAATCAGCCCTTATGCTCTTGTGCACCCTAGTTTCATACCACTGGTAGGCTTTAGAGACCCTCCTCAGTTACTGCTGGACATGCCCAAATCCTTTTCCACTGGGAATTCTAGTTCTTCATGCTTTCTGTTTAAGAATTGGAATGACTCTGAGAAAGAGGTGGAAATCTGCCTCCTGAAAATAAAATAAGCAATTACATTAAAGATCCCTTAGTTGTTAACTAAAACAACATTTATTCTTAACCAATAAACAATTGTTGGGTTTCTTTCCTCATCATATATCTTAGATTCAGCTTATTATTTTTCTTTTATTAATTTGTTTTTGTTACAGATGTTTATCATTTTTCCCCCATTGACACTCTCCTTCCCTTCACCCCCCCCACTCCATCCCCAGCTCTGTTGTCTATGTTCATCGTTCATGCATACATGCATGTAAGTTCTGTGGTTTATCTCTTCCCCCACAAAAGCCCCCTCCTCTGAGGCTTGTCAGTCTGTACCCCACCTCTATGTCTCTGGGTTAATTTTGTTCAGCAGTTTGTTTAGTTCATTATATTCCACAAATAAGTGAGATCATGTGATATTTGTCTTTCTCTGCTTGGCTTGTTTCACTGAGCAAAATACTCTCCAGGTCCTTCCATGCCATCTCAAAGGATAAGAGATCTTTCTTTCTTACAGCTGCATAGTATTCCATTGTGTACATATCCCACAGCTTTTTAATCCACTCATCTACTGATGGACACTTGGGTTGTTTCCAGATCTTAGCTATTGTAAATAATGTTGCTATGAACATAGGGGTACATATATTCTTGCTGATTGGTGTTTCAAGCTTCTTAGGTTATATCCCTAGAAGTGGGATCACTGGGTCAAATGGCAGTTCAATTTTTAATTTTTTGAGGTAACACCATATTGTTTTCCATATGGGGTGCACCAGTCTACATTCCCACCAGCAGTGTACTAGAGTCCCCTTTTCTCCACACCTTCACCAACACTTGTTTGATGATTTGTTGATGGTGGCCATTCTGGCAGGTGTGAGGTGATACCTCATTGTTGTTTTAATTTGCATCTCTCTGATGATTAGTGATGCTGACTATTTCTTCATATGTCTCTTAGCCATTTGTATGTCCTGTGTGGAGAGGTGTCTATTTAGTTCTTCTGCCCATTTTTTAATTGGGTTCTTTGTCTTCCTTTTGTTGAGTTGTATGAGCACTCTATGTATTTTGGAGATTAACCTCTTATCTGATGCAAAATTGGCAATTATGCTCTCCCATACAGTGGGTTCCCTTTCCATTTTTTATGGTTGTTTGTTTTGCTGTGCAGAAGCTTTTTAGTTTGATGTAGTCCCATGTGTTCATTTTTTACTTTGTTTCTCTTGCCTTAGATGTTGTATCAGTGAAAATTCTGCAATGTATGATGTCTGAGATTTTGTTACCTGCATTTTCTTCTAGAATTTTTACAGATTCATGAGTCACATTTAAGTCTTTTGTCCATTTTGAGTTTATTGTTGTGTATGGTGTAAGTTGATGGTCTGGTTTCATTTTTTTCCATGTAGCTGTCCAATTTTCCCAACACCATTTATTAAAGAGGCAGTCTTTACTCCACTGTATGCTCTTGCCACCTTTGTCAAATATTAATTGAGCATATTGTCTTGGGTCAATTTCTGGGTTCTCTATTCTGTTCCATTGATCTATCTGCCTGTTCTTGTGCCAGTACCAAGCTGTTTTGATTACAGTGGCTTTGAAATATAACCTGAAATCTGGTAATGTGATCCCTCCTACTTTGTTCTTCTAGATTCAGCTTATTATTATTGATAATATCAACAATAAGTAACTTCCTTTTGCCATTCTTAATGTGCATTATCTCTAGGTGGTCCCTTTCATTAGAATGTCCAATGTAAATATGAGTCACCTCATGCTGTGACAGGCACAATAACTGGCCTGATATCAAATCCCTGACAGATGATAGAGTCAGGAATTTTGGCTCACTTCCCCTGATACCACAGACATTGTTTTTTCCTCTTTTGGGTCATTAATGTCACAGTTCCCATTACTACCACTCTGACTTATAGGGTTTCCTATCTAGATTTATGTATCAGTCTCCTTCCTGACTTTACCCCACCTCCAGACTCTCCTCATCCAACTGCACGTTGCATGTAAACATAATAAGTTCCTCTTGAGTGGGCCCCCACTCTTTAGGTGTGGTGTGAGGCTCCTTGCTAACTCAATAGGGCATGGTGGCCTCTAGAAAGATCTCAAAAAGTGAGACCAGATGGAATGAATGAATGAATGTAGAAATGAGACGACCTATTTTTCTTCTATAGCATCTCTCAGCTGGAGTCTTAGTGTGCTTGCCATTTACAGCCAGGTTCACCTAGGTCCTGAGCTTTTCCTGACCAGGTAGGGGGAGATCCTGTGGACACAGCCCCTCAGTGCATGTGCATGTCTGTGTGCAATATGTATGTGAGTGCCCACCATTTACATGTGCACCAGTGTTTGCTTGCTCACGACTCAGCTTGCTTTTTGTTCTGTGTAGAGGTTCTGACATTGGTCCCTGTGGGTTAAATAATCTATTCAGAACCTGTCTAGTCAGGACTTGGAATACATTATCTCACTTAATTCTCACAACTTTCCTAATGCATGAGTACTCTAATTTGCATCTTGTAGATGTACAAACCTGACCTGTAGGTGCCTTACATAGGTAAGAAGCATGGACACAGAAGAGGAACGGCAGTAGGGTATTTATAATAATGACCATTTCTTGAGCAGCTTCTCTGTTCCAGGATTCCTCTTGCATACATTATTCTACTTAATCCCCACAATCACCCCACAAGGTAGTTACTACTATGCCCATAATCCTTCAGATGAGGAATGCTAGACATGACAGGAGTATACAATTGCTCAACATCAGAGTTGAATTTGGGGGCCAAAATTCAAACCCAGGTTTATTTGATATTACTGTATAGCCCAAGCCCTTATGCCAATACTGAGACTGAAGTGTGGGGGTAGACTGAAGGAGCTAGAACTGCTTGTGTGAAGGATTGGAAGTAACAAGGCAACTGAGGGAATCCAGTTGAGTGTAATCCCATTCCTCACTCGAGAGCACTCAGAATCTTGGATGGTTCTTAGGCTGGGTCGTATCTACAGGTCATCTTCACTTTCTCCACAGTTGCCAGGTATTAATACTTCATGACTCATAGAAACTTTAATAACTCGAAGCTACAACAGGGGATCAACTTCCTCATCAAAACTTACCTCTGTCTGTTAGTGACCCAGGACTAAATGAACCAGTATCCTTCCTAGAAGGGATTTGTAGTTGCAATTTTGCCAGCTTGTAGTATGCTCTTGAGGTAGTGTCAGGCTCTGATTGTTGATGACTTTTGTAACTACAGACCACAATAAGAAATTCATTTGCAATTGTAAATAGCCCATTTAATATCCTCTTATACTTGTGTTACAATGGTGACAGTAGAGATGGAGAGCAGTGGACAGTGTTAGAAATAAACATGTGATAAAATATAGGGTGTCCCAAAAAATGTGTACACACTTAACAGCTGGTAGCTCAACTGATGTTTCTTTCTTTTCAGATTTAACCCGTTGGAATTTATAATTATTCAAAGTGTGTATATACTTTTTGGGACACCTTGTAGGTCAGATTTAGTGTCCTATTGGCTATGGAAAGCAAGAGAAAGGGAAGAGTCCAGGATAAGCCAAATGGGTGTTTGTATAGTTTTTGCTTTGCATTATTAATAAGCTGTTGATACCATTTCCTTAGACAGGTAAAGAAGGAGGAACAGGTTAGTGAGGGGAAATGACAGTGAGTTCAGTTTTGGACATTATGCGTTTGAGGTTCCCTGGACACCTTAGTGGAGATGATCATTAGATAAACAACTGAGTAAAGGAATCTGGAATTTCTAGACACACTCAGGCTACAGTTAGAAATTCAGAAATCGCCAGCCCATAAATGATAAATCAAAGAAGGAGTGATTTCATCTAGAGCAAATGCTCAAGTGAAGTAACACAGGAATGAGCAAGCCTAATATTTAGGGTTTAGGAAGAAAATGAGAACACACAATGTTTAGAAAACATTGTAAGATATTAAAGAACAATTAAATAAAAAAGAAAGTAGATTAATAAGACATTTCATATTTAATAGACAGTCAATTTTTTGTATTACTCAAGTAGTAATCTGTTAGTAAGATGCTGTGCAGAAAATCATTTTAGGATTTGGCTTTGAAAACTCTGAAAAAAGTCAAGTGACTTTTCTATTTTAGTAAGGCAATATTATATGGTTACTCTGCATTCAAGTAAGTAAAGTTATTTAATTGTTTCATAGTAGAAAGTTCATTGTTTCAGGCCCATAAATATGAGATATTTCTAAATTGTAATTCCTCTTCTTGGACACAACTTGCAACTCCCATTGGCTTAGTCTTCTGGGGCTGCCATAACAAAATACTATAGAGTAAGAGACTTAAACAACAGAAATTTATTTTGACATAGTTCTGGAGACTAGAAGTCGGAAATCAAGGTTCAGTAGGGTCATGTTCTAATTTCAGGCTCTCTTCCTGGCTTGCAGATATGTTCTCCCTGTGTGTGCGCACATGACTTCTTTGTGCGTGCACAGAGAAAGTGAGCAAGCTTGCTGATGTCTCTTCTTATAAACACATTAATCCTATTGTATCAGGGTCCCACCCCTGTAATCTCATTTAACCTTAATTACTTCCTTAGAAACCCCATCTACCAATATAATCACATTGTTAGGGCTTCAACATATGTATTTTGGGGGAACACAAATAATATCCATACTGAACCCCCTCAGATATCCTACCTCTAAGAAACAAACACAAAATCATACCAGTAGGGAAAAAGCTAATAAGAAAAGTATCAGGAAGTAAGAAAAGCAGAGGCTGCATTAAGTTCCAAACTGTTCTGTGCCTGTTTTACTCTCAACTCGTTTACAGTTATAAACTAACCACTTTCCATTACATTAGATATTTCTTCCCAGATGACTCTGTTTACAAATTACAGTTTCCATCCAAGCCTAGTTTTCACTTCTTGTAGACAGAACTAATTTGTGGTCACATGAGTACACAATCATATGCCAAAGGTGTGTTATGACATTCCAATTTTTCTTTTAATTTTATTTTTCAATTAAAGGTTATAGTTAATAT